ACCTTTCAGTTAACTGAGCACTTTACCGTTGCACCAGCAGGGCTCCTTCCATATAGTTACAATTTTAGCCCTGGTGGCTACTGACTGAGCACCTTTCTGGTAGCAGAAAGGTGGGGGGTTTAAACCCAGCAGCTCTGCTGGAGAGAGATGTGGTAATCCGCTCCTATCACAATGACAGCCTTGGAAACCCTATGGGACAGCTGTATTCCATCCTATAGGGTCGCTAGTCGGAATCGTCGACTCGATGGCACACGACACCTTCGGTAGAAAGATTAAAACGGAAAAAAAGAAGAGTGGCATCGCGTTTGCACCGCAGTCCGCCCCGTCCTGACGTGCCCCCTAGAGGTTGGAAAAGTGTCAACAGCTGCCCTCCGCCCTAACGAAGCCCGCGTCCCCCGACCGCTCCTGGTCAAGCTCCCCTTTTCCCGGTTCCTGGCGCCCTGGCTCCGCGTGCAGAGCTAGCTTCACTAACCGGTGAGAGGGCTAACCCGCACCAAACCAACCCCCGGCCGTCACCCTATCCCTTTGACAAGCAGAGCGGCCGACTCGCGCAGCGCGCAGCCGCCAGGGGCCACCCCAGCACTCGGAGCCGCACGAGCGTTCCCGATCGTCTTCGGCTCTTTCCGGCCTCTCGCATCCTGCCGTTTGATTCGGCTGTTTCCGCTTTCTGCGCGCAGCCGTTGTCCCGGCAACGCGCGGCGGCTCTGAGGCCCTGGCTGAGGTGAGCTCCTTCTCCGGGCGAGGTTGGCCCCACGCCGGGCCGGACCGAGGTCAGGACTCGGGAGGCCGGGGTGGGGTACAATGAAGGCCCGGGCGTGGGAGCCGGCGTCCGGTAGGCGAGGGGGCAGAGCGCGGCGACTCGGGCGAAGGTCGAGGGCGATTCGGGGGCCGCGGTGAGGACTCGGGGGGCTCGGGCTCGGGGGTCCGCGGGGCCGGACTCGGGGGGCCCGGGCTCGGGGAGGCGGGCTGTCCAGATCTCTGAGGTTCCCTCCGGCGTTACCGCGAGTTCTTTCCCGCCCCAAATCGGTCCTCCCGAGACCGGGCGAGGGGCCGTTACGCCCGGGGCCCTAACTTGTCCACCACCCCGTTTTTGCACAGCTGTTGGAACGTGGAATAGGGATTCCGGTGACTTTTTATGTTTTTGTCAGCCTCAGGCCAGGTTAGGGGTGGGCAGCGGCCCAGGGAGGAGCCCCTGGTGGCGCAGTGGTTAAAGCGCTTGGCCACCAACCTCTAGGTCAGCGGTTCAAACCCACCGGCCTCCGTACAGGAGGAAGATGAGGCAGTCTGCTTCCTGAAGCTCTGCAGCCTCGGAGCCCCTGTGGGGCAGGTCCATTCCGTCCTGTAGGGTCACTGAGTCGGGATCCACAGAACCACAGTGGGTTTGGGTTTGGGTTCTGGGAGCCCAGGCTGTCTAGCCGTCCACTCCAGTGTCTACCCCAGTCGGTGGTGGGCGTGTCCCCTCACCTTCCCGAGTTACTTCAGAGGACAGTTATAGGTCCATGAGCATCACAAGAGAGCCACAATCCCAGGTCCCTACTGGCTCTCTGAGCCGACATACACCCCTTTGGAATGCTCCGCGGTGGGGTGGTGGGGGGCACCCTCGAAAGAACAGAATAAGAAAGGAAAGCGTTGTGGGCCGTCTGTCCAACACCCTGTCACATCAATTGATACCCACGACCTAGTGCGTCACATAGTGTCCGCTAGATGCAGCTATGTGACCCTGCACTGGCTGCAGGCCCACGGCAGTGCCCTCAAAAGTGAGGCTTCACTCTAGTTCCTGCCCACACCCCCACCCTCAGCCCCCTATGACCTGAAGGACTCCCTCTGTGGCTCCTTTTCTTTTCTTTTCTTTCCTTAATTTTTATTGTGATTTGGGTGGAAGTTTACAAAGCAAATTCATTTTACATACAGCAGTTCACACACATTTTGTTTCTTGACACTGACTGCGATCCCCACAATAGAACAGCTCCCCTCCCACTTCCTCCCTGTAGTCACCTCTTCCCTGTGTCCTTCCCTCCATGCACTCCTGCCCCCCGAGCTGTCTCCCTGTGCAAACACTGCCCTCCTGATCTCCCATGATTGATCACTCTGGGGAGTGTATCTACCTGATGTAAATATTCACCCCTTATGGCTGTCTGTTGTGTGGCTGGAAGACACAGGACTGAGTTCATTTCAGACCCGAAGGGTAACTAGGGGCCCTAGTCTCAGGGGTCTCACCAGGCTCTCTCAGACCAGCAAACCTGGTCTTTTTATGATTTTGAGTTTTGTTCCACATTGTTCTCCCACTCTATCCAGGATCTCCTGCACGACCCCTTTCCGAGTGGTTGACAATGGTGGCCAGGCACCATCTAGTTCTTCTGGTCTCATGGTCATACAGGCTGACATTTGCATGGTCCACTAGTCCCTTGGACGCATTGTTTTCATGCGTCTTTGATATTCTTTGTTCTGGACGAGGAGAGACCATTGTTGGATCTAGATGGCTCTTTGCAAACTTTTAAGAGCCCGGTTGCTACCCACCGAAGTAGGATGTAGAACAATGTTTTTGTGCAGTATTTAGGCCAATTGAGCTTGGTGTCCCCTGTGACCGTGGTCCCAGGGCCTCCGTTTCTCTGGGTTTCGTTACAAGACGTCTCAAAGGGGTGTTGTTGGGTGCTGTCAAGCCCATTCCAGCTCAGCCCCTGTGACAGAAGAGCTCCCCATAGGGTCTCCAAGGCTTCCGTGCTTACGGAGCAGACGGGGTCTCCAAGGCTGCTGTGCTTACGGGGCAGACGGGGTCTCCAAGGCTGCCGTGCTTACGGGGGCAGACGGGGTCTCCAAGGCTGCCGTGCTTACGGGGCAGACGGGGTCTCCAAGGCTGCCGTGCTTACGGGGGCAGACGGGGTCTCCAAGGCTGTTGTATTTACGGGGGCAGATGGGGTTTCCAAGGCTGTCATGTTTATGGGAGCAGATGGCCAGACTGGGTGGGTTCCACCCACCAATGTATTGTTTCAGAGCCGAGTGCTTAACCATTGTACCACCAGGGCTCCTCAGGGGCCTTATGTGAATGTGCTTAACAGATTCTGTCCCAAAATGCCTTGAATGGGCCCCTTACAGAGGTTGTGAAGACCTTGGACACGTGGGAGGCGAGAGGGCAAATCCATTAGTAAAAGCTGAACTTTTTCTTTTCCCCAAAGCCCAGGCATTTGCCCACCATTTCATGTTCCCGAGACCCAGAGTTTGTTTTAGGGGCCGGGACTGTGCACTTGTTTTCTGAACAGAAATGCCACGGACAGATTGTCATGGAATAAGTATTTCATGAAGGTGTCCTGGCGGTACAATGGTTAAGCCACTCAGCTGCTTCTCACAAGGGCCGGGTCTGTCCCACAGAGCTGCTCTGAGGAAGGGAAGATCGCAGCCTGGACGACCCTGGGGGCGATTCTCTTGGGGGGTCTTCGTGGAGGGTTCTGGGATTGAGGACCTGTGCTGTGCAACGCAAGGAAGGTTGTGGACTTGGGGTGCTCCAGCTGGTGCCTACCTATGGAGCACATCATGGGGTGGGAGGCTGGTTGATCGGTCACACATCTGCAATAAAGTTTGAATGCAGAGATCCGGCAGGGCTGGGGTTCTCCGAGGTTCCACAACAACTAGAAGCCACATCAGGAGAGCTTCCAGGGGAGAGGGCATGTCCTGGGTGCCCGAAGGAGGAGGGAGAGAGTGGGCAACGCACTTGGCTGGTAACCAAAGGTCGGCAGTTTGGACCCACCAGCCACTCCTCAGGAGAGAGATGAGGTAGTCTGCTTCCATGAAGACTGACAGCCTTGGAGACCCTGTGGGCAGTTCCACTCTGTCCTCTAGGGGCGCTGTGGGTCAGAATGGACTCCAGGCAGTGGGTGTGGTTTGGGCTTTGCTTCTGTGAAGACTGACAGCCTTGGAGACCCTGTGGGCAGTTCCACTCTGTCCTCTAGGGGCGCTGTGGGTCAGAATGGACTCCAGGGCAGTGGGTGTGGATTGGGCTTTGTTTCTGTGAAGACTGACAGCCTTGGAGACCCTGTGGGGCAGTTCCACTCTGTCCTCTAGGGGCGCTGTGGGTCAGAATGGGCTTCCTGGAACCACCGCTGCTGAAAGCGAGAGCCTGATTCCACACCCTCCTCCAGGGGTCGGGCTTGAGTGGTTCTGAATAATGGCAAATCTGCCCACAGCTGGTCTCCCCAGACCGATTCTTGGGTAGCAACTCACACCCCATACACAAACCTGCTGCCGTGGAGTCGATTCCGACTGACATCGCCCCTAGAGGACAGAGTGGAACTGCCCACAGCGTCTGCAGGGCTGTCAGTCTTTGTCCCACGGAGTGGCTGGCTGGTGGGTTTGAACTGCAAACCTTTAGGTGAGCAGCCAAGTGCTTTAACCACTGCACCACCAGGACTCCTTCCTCACTGTCCTGGCCCTCCTGGAAAATGACAACACGTACCTCTTCCCAGGATTCGCAGGAAGGATGAGATGGATTCACAGGCTTATAGGTCCAGCTCTCCACACCCACTGTGACTTTGTTTCTGGACTCTGAGCAACAGCCCCTCTTCCACCACTGGGATGGGGGCTGCATGAGCCGTGGTCTTCACGCCTTGGGAAACAGCACCGTATAGGAGTCACCTTCCATGTCCCAGGGCAGCTTGTATCACTTGGTTTGAAGATTTTTCTTGAAAGAACGCTGTGGAGACATGAAACAACCCACCACACCAAGTGCCCACAGCCTGGTGACGACCCGTGTGTTGGAGCAGAGCTGGCCTCGGGGGCTTGGCTGGGGCCTTGCGGAAGCAGGTCACCAGTCCTGGTTCCTGCAGTGCACGGGTGGGTCCAAACTGCCAGCCTTCCAGCTCACAGCCAAGCGTTGAACCATTGCGCCACCAGGCACCAGGGCTCCTTGCCCTTCTCCAGCTACCGTTACTCTGTTTGTTGTGTTTGGAGCCCACAGGACTTGGTATGTTTTTGTCCCCTGCAGGCCACCACTGTGACGGGATTTCGCCATGGCCCTCTACGTTGATCACCGCATAGAAGCCCCCGACTCAACCGGCTCACCTTCCCACATGAGCTGGCACCCTGTCCACCCCTTGCTGGCGGTGGCCTCGGTCAGCGCCATCTCGGGAGGTGGCGTGGGCATCTACCTGGAGCAAGTGGGTCTGAACAGCTGCTCCTGCGAGAGCTCCTTGTTCTGCTTTCTGTTTAGTGGGTGTGAGTGTGCATGGGGGTGAGTGTGCGTGGGTGTGGAATGTGCGTGGGTGTGGAGTGTGGTGGAGTGTGGGCGTTCTGTGTGTGATGTGTGTGGGATGGTAAGTGGTGTGGTATGGGGTATGGTGTGTGCGTGTGTAGTATATGTGATGTGTGTCTCATGCATGTGTGTGCACATAGTATATGGTGTATATGTGGTGTATACATGTGTGTGCGTGCATGGAGGTATGCATATGTGTGTAGTGCATGTGTGGTGTGGTATGTGATGTTTATGTGTGTGGGGTGGTGGTGTGTATGTGATGTGTGTGGGGTGCAGTGTGGTGTATGTGTAGTGTGTGTGTATGGCGTGTAGTGTGTGCATGTGTGTGGTGTGGTATGTGAAGTTTGTGTGCATGTGTGGTGGGGTGCAGGGTGTGATTTGGTCTACTTCTGTGTGGTGTGTGTGTGATGTGTGTAGTATGTGATGTGTGTGGTGTGGTTGCATGTATATGCATGTTGTGTGTGGTCTGGTGGGTGTTTGTGGTGTGCATGTGTGTGTTGTGTTATGTGTGCGTATGTGTGGCGTGTACATGGTGTGTGTGTGTATGGTGTGTGATGTGTGTGCATATGTGTTGTGTGTGTGCATGTGCATGTGCATGGTATGGTATGTGTTGTGTGTGATGTGTGTGCATGTCTGTTGTGTGTACATGTGTGGTGTGGTATGGGGTGTGGTGCACATGTGTGTGTGTGTGGTGTGTGCATGTGTGTCGTGCCTGTGTGGTGTGGTATGTGGTATGGTGTGTGTGTTGTGTGTGTGTGTGGTGTGGTATGGGGTGGTGTGTACATGTATGCTGTGCATCATGCATCTACACCATGTATGTTGTATGTGCACGTATGTGTGTATAGCATATATACATATGTACAACATACCTATATGAGTATGTAAATATACATATGTTGTTGTTGTTATTTGCCGTCGAGTCAGCCCTGACTCATAGCGACCCCTCCTTGGGTTTCCGCAGTTATCACTACAGAAGTTGTTGTTTGCTGTCGAGTCGGCCCCGACTCATAGCGACCCCTCCTTGGGTTTCTGAGGCAGTATCACTACGGAAGTAGGATTGCCCAACCTTCCTTCCGAGGAGTGGCTGGTGGGTTTGAACCGCCAGCCTGCTGGTTAGCAGTCAAGTGCTTTTAGCCACTATACTACCATTGCCCAACCTTCCTTCTGTATATACATATGCATTGCTTATATGTATAATGCATGTATGTTGTATGTGCAGGTATGTGTGTGTGTATGTCTTGTGTGTGTGTTTTGTTGTCATGGTGTGTGGGGGTATTGTCATGGTACGTGTGTGGTGTGTTGTCATGTGTATGCGTGTTTTGTTGTCATGGTGTGTGTGTTGTGTCTGCATGGTGTGTTGCCATGGTGTGTGTGGATGTGTGATGTATGTGTGTGTGGTGCATGTGTGTTGTTTTGTCATGTGTGTGTGTTATGTTCTCATGGTGTGTGTGTGTGATGTGTGTGTTGTGTTGTCATGGTGTATGTGTGTGGTGTGTGGTATGTGTGGTGTGTATGTGTGTTGCGATGTCATGGTGTGTGTGGTATGTGGTGTGATGTATGTGTGTGTTGTGTGTGCATTTTGTGTTATGGTGTGTGGTATGTGGTGTGATGGGTGTATGTGGTGTGTGTGTGTTTGTGATGTCATGGTGTGTGTGGTATGTGGTGTGATGTATGTGTGGTGTGTGTGTGGGTTGTGATGTCATGGTGTGTGTGGTATGTGGTGTGATGTATGTGTGTGTTGTGTGTGGGTTGTGATGTCATGGTGTGTGTGGTATGTGCTGTGATGTGTGTGTATGTGTGTGTATGTGTGTGCATGTTGTGTTGTCATGGTGTGTGTGGTATGTGGTGTGATGGGTGTTGTGTTGTCATGGTGTGTGGGGGTATTGTCATGGTAAATGTGTGTATGTTGTCATGTGTATGTGTGTTGTGTTGCCTGTCATGTGTGTGTGTGTTGTGTTGTCATGGTGCGTGTACATGTTGTGCTGTCATGATGTGTAGTGTGTGTGGTATGTGGTGTGATGTATATGTGTGTTGTACTTGCGTGCTGTGTTGTCGTTGTATGTGGTATGTTGTGTGTGTGTGTTGTGTTGTCAGGGTGTGTGTGGGGTATTGTCATGGTATGTGTGTGTTGTGTTGTCATGTGTATGTGTGTTGTGTTGTCATGTGTGTGTGTTGTGTTGTCATGGTGCGTGTACATGTTGTGCTGTCGTGATGTGTGGTGTGTGTGGTGTGTGGTGTGGTCAGATGCTGCCATCTAGCTCATTCCTAAGGAAAACCCGTCCCAGCCATCGTCAGTCTCAGTGGGGTCCAAGTGCCTGCTGTTAGGAAAGCCCCCCTCCTGGGCTGGAAGCCCTGCTCGTGCAAGTTCATCTCTCAGCTGCTGACCTGTTCGAACCCCCCAGCGGCTCCACGGGAGAACTTCCTGGCAATCTGCTTGTGTAAAGACGACAAGGAGACCCAATGGGGCAGTTAGTTCTCCCCTGGGTTGGCTGACAGCGTGGACAGTGCAGGGCCCTGGAGGCACTGTCAGTCCTGAGCCCTGGGGCCGTGGCTCTAGTCCCCTGCAGGCATGGGTTGGGGACATGGGGACAGAGTGCAGGACCCTGGAGGCGATCTCTTGAGATGGAAGGGAGGGCAGCAGGGGGGAGGAGAGACGCTGTGTCGCCGGAAGCTCGGCTCTGGGCAGCAGAAGTGCTGGGCGTGGCTGCCACCGTCCTAGGAAGGGGTTTCCCTCCTGTCCCACCAGGGAGAGCATGTACCCGACACGCACATCGAGCGACCGAGCCGAGTGACATCCCTCTGCTGGCACCCGACGCGGCTGGTCCTGGCCATCGGCTGGGAGACGGGGGAGGTGATCACGTTCAACAAGCAGGACAAGGAGCAGCACACTGTGCCCCTGATGCACGACACTGAGGTCACCGTCCTCTCCTGGAGCCCCAGCGGGACCTGCCTGGTGTCCGGGGACAGTGTGAGCAGATGCTGCTGTGGGGGCCCGGGACGGGGCGAGCGGACCCTCGCGGGGGCTGCTGGGGCCGGGGGCGGGGCGAGCGGACCCTCGCGGGGGCTGCTGTGGGGGTCTGGGACAGAGTGAGTGGACCCTCGCAGGGGCTGCTGGGACCCGGGGACGGGGTGAGCGGGCCCTCGCAGGGGCTCCTGGAGCCCTGGACGGGGCGAGCAGACCCTCATGGGGGCTGCTGGGGGACGGGGTGAGCGGACCCTCGCGGGGGCTGCTGGGGTCCGGGACGAGGCTCGTGGACCCTTGCCGCTACTACTGGGTGGGGGTGGTCTCGGACAGATTTTGTTTCTCTCATGGTAAGATACGTGCTGTGCTTGTTGGGCGCTGTTGAGTCCGTTCCGACTCCTAGTGACCCGACACGCAAGGTCCTGTGCCATCCACACAGAACCCTTTGTTGTAAGTGCTGTGTCATCGCCACATGGAGGGCCGTCCCCTTTGTCGCCGACCCTCCACTTCACCAGGCAGGACGCCTAACCCAGGGAATGGTCCCTCCCAAATGCGTGTCCACAGTGTGTGATGAGGTCTCCCCTCCTCTGTCTGAGGAGCACGCTGGGTGTACTTCTCCTGAGACAGATCTGTTCTCTCTTTGGCTGTCCGTGGTTTAGCTGATAATCTTCACCAACCTATAACTCAAAGGCATCGGTTCTTCGTCTGTCTTCTTGTTAATCGTCCAGCTTTCACATGCTTATGAGGTGATGGAAAATGCCGGAACCCCTTAGTCCTCAAACTGACAGCTTTGCTTTGGAGCACGTTGAAGAGGTCTTTTGCAGCAGATTGGCTCAATGCAGTATGCCAGTTGATTCAATGCAGTAGGCCGGTTGATTCAATGCAGTAGGCCAGTTGATTCTCCTGACTGCCGCTCCCATGGGTGTTGGTTGTGGGCGGAAGTGAAATGAAATCCTTGACAATGTCTTTTGTCTGTGTATCATGGTGTTGCTTATTGGTCCAGTTGGGAGGATTTTGGTTTTCTTTATGTTGAAATATGATCCATACTGAAGGCTGGTCAAACACATGTACAACAAAAAAGGCCATTTCCGCCATCTTTGCGTGTGGTTCAAAGACACTGATTGTGTTCACCGTGTTGGGCAACTGGCCCCACTGGCTATTCCATGATGCTGTCATCCTCCAAACAGAAATACTGTAACCTACAGCAGGAACCCTCCAGCCCCTGGTAACCTCTGCTCTATACCCACCTCCATGTGTCTGCCAGGTCTAGCTGTCCCATGCAAGTGGGTCACGCTGTAATTGTCCTTTGGTGTCTGGCTTATGTGACTCAGCACCATGTTTTCAAGTTCGTTTGCATCACAGCAGGTATCAGGCCTTCATGGCCTGGTGACTGAGTGCTTGTCGTCTTCGTTATCTGATGCTGCTGTAACAGAAAGACCACAAGGGGGCCTTTAACAAACAAGCTGATTTGCTCACAGATTAGTAAGCTAGACGTCTGAGTGCAGGGCGCTGGCTCTGGGGGAAGGCTGTCGTGTCAGCTCTGGGGAGGGTCCTTGTTCCTGGTTCCTGGGGGATCTGTGTGTGGCATGGCATCTCCCTTCCCCAGCTCTGCTAGCTCACTTGTTTAATCTCTTATATCTCTGAAGAGACAGACTCAGTGATTGGTACACCATGCGACCCTCAGTCTAGACGCCTATGAGACCAGAAGAACTAGATGGTGCCCAGCTACCACAGTCATCCACTCAGAGGGGGATCTATGTAGGAGATCCTGGACAGTGGGAGAACAATGTGGAGCAAAACTCAAAATCATTTAAAAAAAAAAAAAAAAACAGTGACTGTTTGCTGGTCTGATAGAGCCTGATGCAACTACTGAGACTATGGCCCCTAGCTGCCCTTCAGGTCTGGAATTGAACCCACTCCTGTGGCTTCCAGCCAAAAAAAAGACAGACATACGAGCTGAACATTTACATTAGGTAGATACTTGGAGAGATCAATCATGGGAGAACAGAAGGGTCTGGTATGCACAGGGAGACGGCTCAGGGGGCAGGAGTGCATGGAGGGAAGGACACAGGGAAGAGGTAACTATGGGGAGGAAGTGGAAGAGAGATGCTGCGTCATGGTAAATTGTAGTAGATATCATGAGACAAAGTGTATGTGAGCTGCTGTGTGGAAAGTGAATTTGCTCTGTAAACTTCCACCCAAATCACAATTAAAAAAAAAGAAGAAGAAAGAAAAGAGATGGACCTAAAGCACACCGTGAGCCAGTCCTGCCACATCCGCATGAGACAACCACCCCACGGGGGTTACAGACACAGGGCACAGGACCAACAGCGCATGCCTGGGGGGACACGTCCGCTGCGTGGCAGCCACACCCAGCCTCTGGACGCTGGCTGCAAACCTGTGATGCCTGTCTGCGCCGGGCTTGGAAGCGTGTAAAGAACCCATCGCTTGAGATGTGTGCCTGCCAGTTGCACCCAGTCTTGTCGGACGCCTTTTAAATGACCTTCACTAGGAAACAGTGTTTCGTACACACAGATGTGCCCCTGAGGTACTGGCACTGACTAGCACCCCGAGTTGCCAGCGCCTACAAGCACCCTGCCACCTTCCCTCACCCCGCTTGTCCAGGTCAGGGGCCTTCACTGCTGAACAGTAAATGCGTGGGGGAGGGGACAGATCTCCTGAAGAATTCAGTGGTTCATCCGTGTGCACACGGTGACCCCTCCAAGGGGTACAGACGGAAAGGGGGGATCACGGTGCACACAGCAGTTGAGCACTTGGCTACTAACCAATGGGTCAGTAGTTTCAACCCCCCAGCCACTCCGCGGGAGAAAGATGTGGCAGTCTGTTCTAGTACAGGCTGACAGCCTAGAAGACCCTGTGGGCAGCTCTGTCCTCTAGGGGCGCTGTGGTTCGGAATGGACTCCAGGCAGTGGGTGTGGTTTGGGCTTTGCTTCTGTGAAGACTGACAGCCTTGGAGACCCTGTGGGCAGTTCCACTCTGTCCTCTAGGGGCGCTGTGGGTCGGAATGGACTCCATGGCAGTGGGTGTGGTTTGGGCTTTGCTTCTGTGAAGTATGAGCCTTGGAGACCCACTGGGGCAGTTCCACTCTGTCCTCTAGGGGCGCTGTGGTTCGGAATGGACTCCAGGCAGTGGGTGTGGTTTGGGCTTTGCTTCTGTGAAGACTGACAGCCTTGGAGACCCTGTGGGCAGTTCCACTCTGTCCTCTAGGGGCGCTGGGGGTCAGAATGGACTCCACATTCTGTGGAGTGTGGGTTTCTTTGGTTAACTTCTCTGTGAAGAAGCCTGGCAAGCATGACCTCAGGCAGGGGATCACAGTAAGAGGTCATGTTGAGAGCCCATGGCCCTGAGACGATGAGATGGGAAGGGAATCCCACCTCCCTGGCCCCCTCCTGAAGAACCTATCACTCCAGTCTCACCCTGACAAATGCCAGCAGAGGGTCCTTCTCCACCACCCTGGCCCGTGCTCCTCACAGCTGTCAGGAAGGGACCACAGGACACCTTCTGAGACACCACCATCCCAGAACAGGAAGGGCTGCCAGGGGACGCGGGAAACTTGGGCACGCAGTGGGTATTAGCACAGATGCTGGGTGTTGGTCCAGTCACTGTGACATCACACTGATGGCAGGCTTGTAACAGGGGACTCCACAAACCAACACTCTATTTAGCAAAATAGACACGTCCCATGATGCATCTCCCGGGACAAGGATGGGAGAGGTGCAGTGAGCTCACTCCCCCGTGGTGGTACACACTTGAACTGCAGGTGTTTCGTGGGAGCAGGTGGTTTTGCAGTTATGGAAAAACCACAATGAGCCTGTGATGTCTCATGCAGCACGGTGGTCTCACGTAGCATGGCGGTCTCGTGCGGCATGGCGGTCTCGCGCAGCATGGCGGGTCTCGCGCACTGTGGCAGCCTCACACAGCATGGCTTGTGGCTTCTGGCAAACCTTGCAGTCATGTCTTTGCAGCTCGGGGTGCTGCTGCTGTGGCGGCTGGACCAACGAGGCCGGGCACAAGGGACCCCATTGCTGAAACAGGAGTATGAACAGCACCTGACACACTGCATCTTCCGGCTGCCCCCTCCTGGCGAGTAAGTGTTGTCATCGGGCAGCAGATCGACTCTGACTCACGGTGCCCCGACAGGACAGGGGACAGCTGCCCTCCAGGGTTTCTGAGGCTGTCATCTTTACAGGAACACAGCACCAGGCCTTTCTCCTGCAGAGCCACGGGCTGGGTTTGAACTGACAACCTTTTGGTTAGTAGCCGAGCACTTAATTGTTGTGCCACCAGTGCTCCTCTTGGAATACCTGTATTGTCGTGTGGCATCAGGTTGATTCCGACCCACAGCACACCTGGAGGACAGAACAGAACTACCCTATCTGATTTCCCAGGCTGTCGATCTTCACGGAAGCAAAGCCCAAACCACACCCACTGCCGTGGAGTCCATTCTGACCCACAGCGCCCCTAGAGGACAGAGTGGA